AGTAAGTTAAATAAGGCAGAATAGCAGCCTTAAAAAGTTGTAATTTAGCCTTGGAAGTTTAAATTAAGACTTGGTTTCTGAAGTATCAGAAGCAGTTGGGGTTAAGTTTGCATAAATCATTATATATTCTTGTGTATTTACATTCAACTATACCAGGTTCATGTATTAATCATCACAACAGTTACTCTGGGTGTAATTCACTGAAGTCATTTCCTTCAATAACTTCTACACATGCAGTCATTCTCTACCAACACATTATAAATGCATTATATATATTTTTAATTTTGTAGTAACCTCAAAACCAATGATGAAGTAGTGGAGAATATCTGTGTCCTTTTCACTGAGCTGGAAGAATATGGTAAGACAAAGTTACTGCACTTGGTATTGTTAAGTGTAGAGGCCTCTAATAAATTTCTTTTTTTTAACAGACGACATCAGAGAAGAAATGAAACTGAATGCCAATATTACTAAATTGTTGTCTGAAGCTAAATCCAATTTCTCAGATGATGAGCATGAGGTAAAGTTACTTAAGTTATGGACTCTGTTTGTGTAACTTAACAATGTGATTCTGTGACACTTTGTGTTACTCTTCATTGTAAAAAGGTAACATTTGTTGTGTTGTTTAACACTGGACATTGTGGTGTGGTGTTGTGTTTCTCCCTAGGACTTATTGAGGGCTGCAGCAGATGCTTTAGTCAAGTTAGGAGGAGGTCAGCGGAATGGTCAACGAACCAGTTCAGCAAGGTCCAGACCCAGAAGTGCTGCAAGGAAATGCTGATAGTGGATACTCTGTCATGCAATGCTTCTTTTTTACTTCGTCATGGGCCAGTAGAAAGAAGCTGGAGTCGAGGTTGAAGTTTTGAGGGCTTTAAAGGACTCTGATGAATATAATATTGTCATCCTTGTTTTGATTTTCCCTCATGAGGATAACCTTGCCCATTGGTTGTTGTTGTTTTCTTTTATTGTCTACTTGTAATGTACACACATCATGCTCCAAATTAATGGCATTGATAGCATACCCCAATATTAAGAAATGCTCAATATGATGAGTTGTAACCGTTGCACCTTTCAATTTATCAAATACATGTAAATATCAAGAGCTTTACCCATCAGCATCTCACTCCTGGTGAAAGTTCTCTTTAAGCATAAGTGAAGGTGTACTTCATCAGGAATCAAACTGTACACTTGTGAATAGTTTAACAGTCGCACTAAGATCCAATTTAAACAGTGTTGTTTTTTTTTTATACCTTATGGTTCTAAATACAAGAGGATTAAACAGTATAATTTTACATATATTTGTTGTTTAATAGTAAAAAGCATATTAAACCTTGAAACCAAGATAAAATAACTTTGAAAGGCACAACTGCACAGCCCAGTTTGAACACCCCAAATTAAAATATTTAGGGATAACAAATACAATAGCCTCTATTTTGCACAAAAAAATATGTATGAATGTTTGTCCTTAGACATCATCTGTTCCTCGAAGCTCACAAATATGACAAATATCCATGTATATTTTTACACCAAATAGAGGCTAATGGTTATATATTCACTCCTTAGAGTGATGACAAAGGGCTAACACAGTTTTGAAAATGGTAAAAGTGACCAATTTATGTTATCAACTCAGTCAATACCAGATTACCTTGACAATACAAACAGGCATTGGAACTCATTGAGGAGAGACCTCAATCACTTAATTGTAGTTAAAATAACAGTATTTAAGGGAGAAAAATCAGGACTTTGACAAATGACTGCTAAAGACAAGTTCAACTGTATCAGCATTCGTTGTTTTCTTTTTCCTTATTTTACTCAAATGAAGGCTGCATTTTTCTAATCAGGTTTCGCATTTTTTTGAGTGCAGTAGTTAATGGTAATTTTCTTCCATCTGCAACGTTAAATGAAGTAAATACAGTAACTTTCTCAGACTCCTTTCCACCTACTTCTTGGCAAGTGTTCTTCCCTATGTTGGGCAGAAATCTGTACTTTTCAAACAACACTTAAAATGAAAAAAGCCAACTCTTGCATTCCCTGTTGTCTTATTTTAATGAATTGTCTCTGGCAAAAACCACTCTGCAGATTGACATATTAATTAAAAGTATCTTTTGTTCTATACAATTGTGACTTGCCCTTCAAGTGAAGAGTTAAAGGGCAGGTTTAACTTCTCTTAGGGAAAGTATACCGTGAGTGACATTTGTACTGAAAATATTCCCACAACTCACTTCCATAGACATGGTTGCTTCCTGAATTGAAAAATATGATAGTGGATAAGGCAATATACTCATCATTAACCAGAAAATCTATTTTTATAGTTTTATATTACAAAGAAAACAAGTTGGTGCTCTTCAAAGTACCAAAACTTCTTCTGTTTACTCAGTTGCCCTGAATTCCCTAATGATGGCATTACAAAGCCATTAAAAAGATCATCTATTGTCACACTACTCCCCATGCTTCTTCAAAAGCAGTACAGATTTTTGCACAAGTTAAAGCCCCTGACAATGGATATTGACTTATTGCCACAGTGTCTTCCACATAAGGAACATCAATCTGCAGAAAAAATTTAAAATGAATAAATGAAAGGTAGAGGAAATTTAATTGTTTCAAAAAAAATTTGTGTTTTGAAAACTAATGGCACCTATGTCAAAGGTAAATTGAGGCGAGGGCCAATCTAACAGGACAGACATGAGGAAGAGTGGAGGAGGAGGAAGAAACAACCACAACCATTAGAAATCAGGGATGTATGAAATAACTGTTATTACAATTTTTCATTATCTCAGTGGTGTGCACTTGTTTTAGGTGTAGAGGTGAAGTGGTAAGCATCTCACTTTGAGTACTTGCATCATTCTTTAAGGCCTTACCGAGCCGTGTGCCATGGCTCCAACAACAAACACAATGGGCTCATCTTTTGGTATAACATCCTTTAACTTCACAAGATTATCAGAATGAAAAGATGTTCCTGAAAGGAAATGACATATCAGTTTTCTGTTTCATAAATGAACCAGAACAGAAGAAGTAAGGACATAGTTTAGTTACACTCAGTACAATCAAATGAATTGATTACAGTAACTTGCCCACTTTCCTACAACCAGTTGGCAAATGATCTGTTACAGGGTTCTTGATGACCTGATAATTAAAATTACATGTCACTGACTGATTCATTAGAAAATAAAAGAGCAGAAACAAAGATTGTGCTTAAAAGGTACCATTATCTACTTTCTCACTTGGAGGGGTGTACACTTTGAAATTAAAATATAATCAACAAGAGATGTTGAATGACATCTCACAAACAAGTTCAGAACTTCGGGAGTGATACAATTTATTATCACTACAGCTCTATTCTCCACAGCTAGAACTAGATACTGAAAAGTATTGTGTGAGACAAGGGAACCAGCCAGTCTGTTGAAGATCTTGGCTGAACTATGATGCTCACTTCACTCTAGGATTGAACATGGTGTATGCATGTGTCAAGTGTCACATGCAGGACGCACAGACAACTTAACACAGACAGGGATTAGTCACCCTGTGCACATCACTCCAACAATCCAAAAAGTCAATAATTAGCTTTTTCACAGTTGAAGTCTCTAGTCATGGTGGTAATAATAATCCCCCCTTGAAATACAAGGAATCTTTCTATACTGCCATGATGAAGCTCACCTTGAGTAACTTTTGAGGACCATCAGAAGCATGAATGCTAAGTTTGTGCAACAACTGAACTTTAATGAAAAGAAATTACAACATTAGCATTGTACAGTTTAAACCTCTAAGTAAAAGTATCTAAAAAGTATTTAAGAAATGATATAATTACCATACTATGGTAGGTAAGCTTTTTAGGTTATTTTACTTCATTTTTGATACCAAAGTGATATTAGAGCACTGATGCAAACACAGAGGATCCATTACTGACCTGTGAAGCAGTCCTTTTAGCAAAACCACAGATGAATATTTTTAGCTTTTTCACTATGTTCACCAATAGATCATGTATCAAAAGACTTCTTGTACCTACCCATAAGCCCACAAAAGCGGTCAAACGTTCTTGGTATTCTGGTATGTGGGTTAATCTCAATAAGGACATTTCTCTCTGTATGAATGTAGACTTGTAAAAGACCTGCTTTGTTCAGCGGACTGTCCAGTAACATCAACAAACTCTGTTTTAATACGGGTGAAAAGTAATGAAAGAAGAAATTGGTTAGAAGTCAATGTGATGTGCTTTACATATGGTCCTTACTTATCCCTTGATTTAGGGTAGCAATTTATTCCTGGTATCGAAGGAAACCCACAAATATATTCCATACTTATGCTGAGGTTTAAAAAAAACTGGCAAAAGAAATGAAAAGACTGGTAACGTGAACCTCACCTGATGAGTGATGTCTGGTCTAGCTGTTGCCGGATCTTTCTTATTTTTCCTCATTATAGTTTTATGTTTGTCACAATTAAGTAACTCGAAACTTTTTCCATTCTATGGGTAGAAAGAATATATCGTATGTTAGTATAGAATACCACATAAAGCAAACCGCTATGGTGGTAACATTCCAGAGCAACCTGAGTCTATCAAACTTAACTTTGCTCCTTACTGTCCCCCACTAATATTAATGTTTTGTCCTTACTTTAACTGTCTCAAGTGAAGCTTTTTCTAGGATTACAATAAGCCGTTTTCCAGAGTCCTTTTCTTTCAGTGTTTTAGGAATTTTGCGCGGCCTTTCAAACTCGCTCCCTTCGTCCGCCATGATTGCACGTGTGTGGCAACATAAAGGCTTGGTTACCACGCAGTTTAAGGAAAGGAGAGAGACTGGCGTACACAACATGGAGAACGATATATCTGGCAGTGTATTCCTGGAAGAACTTACTCTGAAATGTTTTCCAGAACTCGTTGAATCACTTAAAAAGGACATTCCACGATCTTTAATGGTAATCTCTTTCTCTCCAGATGTAACTTCACGTTAATAACGACTTGCTTACATGGACCGATCGGACGACCCCTAGAAGTCCTAGAAGGATTTGTGTAATTATTTTCAGCGCAAATGAACAGAGGCAAAAATTTAATGGTGTTGCAATGCCCCTTATAATCCGACGCCGCTCGAAATCGATCTATACTCAGAATATGTGGTATAATTTCGGCACAGCCCGATATTATTGTAAAACAAATCTGTTTTCCCAATGGCAATGTATTGTTTTTGTCATTGCTTTCTCTATCTAAGAACTGAATGCATAATGTAGGATGGGGCTGTGCGGAAATTTTACCGAATATGTATATATGAGAGGAGACTGATACTTAAAGCTAGATTAGATTTAATTTTTACTTGAAGCCTCTTTGAAGGGGTCATTCCTTGAAAATCAAGTTGGAGCAGCCTGGGTCTTGAAACTCTTACCTTCTGACAGACCTGAATAACGTCTGCAGTTATGAGTTTACTTGAAATTAGATATGGATTCCTGTTTGGAAAGAACCATTGTACATTTTTGACCTCCATTTATTTAATGTAGAGTCATCTGACTTGATATTCAACTAACTGGCTTTGTTGAAATACCATTAAACACCAGCCATAGTAAAGCTTGACCCTCCTCCCCCCCTCCTCTCCGGGATAGGTGGAGCTTTGTCAGGTTTTGTTTACTATTCAGTACCAATACCCACCTATTTCTCAGGGTAGGATTTACTTTGACTGGTGCATACAATCAATCAATCATATCCTAACCCTAACCCTAACTCTAACCCTGAAAAGCTTGCTGGGTCATTTATCTTAGGAACTTATGTGCTAATGGACTTGTGAAAGTTTACAATTTGTTTAAAACCCAAGATATACAGCCATCTCAACTAAGGTAAAATCAACCAAATTTCATGCAAATTACAGTATTTTACTTTATAGGTGTTATGTGTAAAAAAAATCTTTTGATCTGAAAATGCATGTGGACGTAAAATTCCTAAAACTATTGCCCTCACCCTTGACAAAAACTGTTACAAAGGGCATAGAATATCTTCATACTAGGATCCTGATTTTCCCCCTTTTTTTAGTATACAAATATATTTTGGAATATACATCTACTTAAGTAGGAAACTATTAAGTGCAACTACAGGAAAGCATCAAGTGCAGTTACATCTTTAATATACCTTTGTGATTGCCAGGTGCAACAGATTTTCATAAAAGATATGCAGCAAGTAACAGTATGCTCAGGGTTTGGTACTGAAACTCTTTTTTATGAATTCATGTCAATAAGGCAATAGACAATTTTTGGTGTGGTAACTGATAGTCCTCAGCAAGAAGAAGCTTAGCCAAATATTTCTGGGCAGATTTTTATGTTTGAAAATGGTCAGTTTACAGCCATACCTTGTCAATCTGTTTTGATCATTTTAGATCAAATGTTGAGATCAAAATGAATTAGAAACACTTGAGAGACTGTTTGCCATTTTTTAACTTAAATATGAAGACTGTCGATTTTTCCATCAGATGGACAGAAGTATTCAGGATTTATTTTTACTCTAGGTATTGTTATTTATGAGCTTGAGTTGTCTTGTTTTAGATGTTAGGATGCCTTGAACAAATGAATGAAAGTCCAGAGGTGACAAGTGGTCATGTTTATGTAAGCCATTGGCCCAACCCAGACCTTGTAATGTTTGAAAATATGGCTTATAAATCATTGGTGAGAACCTTCCTCTGTTTTTGGTTGCTTATTACTTTACACATACTCGACCATCTAAGTATTGCTATTGTCATCATTACTTTCATCGTAATCATTACCAATGCAAACTTAATTATTAGAGGGAACACAACCAAGTTATTTAGTATTCATCTTTTTTTCGAAGGAAGAAAATGTTTCCTCCATTTGGACATCTAAAATTTTTGCTCTAAGGTATTCCTTTAGTCTCTCACTGCCACAACTGCTAACATAAAGGAAGTCAAATGGCTTCCACCATCTTGACAACCCCTAAGAACAAGTGAATCACTAACTATGAACTTTAGTTAATATATTTTCTTAATTTCAGACTGATTACAATATTCCCCCATCTGTGATTTTTGCAAGTTGTTCCACAGAGAAGCTGAAAATGACACTTGAAAAAAGTCATCTAAGCAGGTTTACATCCTCACCAGAAATACTTGTGGGTATGATCAGCCTATTTTAGCATCTATTGAGAAAAATGTATTTATCAAAGCTTTTGATTGGGTATTTCCTTTTTGACAGGTGATCCCAGATGTTTTGAAATTGGTAATGAGATCACGAAATCAAAGGGAAATGGACTTCAAGTTACTCTTCAATCACTTCCATATTTTGCTACAGTAACTGATGTCACTAAATTAGAAAAACAGTGAGTTGAAAGAGAGGTTTAAGTTGTGTATTTGTTATTATTTGCTCTAATAATTTTTTGGTCACGAAATTCTGCTGGTGTGAGCTTGAAAAGTTAACATGTACCCAGTATTTTTTCTATGGTAGCTTTATTTCTGTTTGTAAAGTCAACTAAAATCAGATTCATTGTCATTTATAGGACATGCCCAAGGGTGTTGCACAAAGCACTTTGAATTTAACTTCCAATAATGGTTTCCTTAATTTGTAACAATTTGAGTTACAGTAGCCAAGAGCATGAAGGCAAACTTTAATAAAAGTATTATCTTTATAGTGAATGCCCACCCGGCTACTTCATTGCTCCTTTGAGGCTTCATGACGCAGTCCTAATTAATACAATGTGGAAATTTGGGGGCAACCCTAATTCTTTGAAGAGATTTAAAAACTTGATTTCCCACTCACTTACCGCTGGGGTGTATTATCAAGACACTGACCAGCTTGTCTCGTGGGGACTGATTGCGGAATATGGCTGCATTTCAATGCTTCATACATTAGAATGTCACAGAAGACGTGGATTGGCCATGGCTATCGTCTACCATCTCACTAAAACCCTTTTGGATCGAAGGAGGACAGTATTCTGCGTCATAGAAGAAGAGAATGAAAACTCCAGACAACTTTTTTGTAAAATGGGATTTAAAATATTTTCGAGTGATTACGTAGCGTTTTTATATACTTCCCAAAGTTAGGTTCACAGGGCAAAGAGGTCGATAATTTTCCACTGATTTCTATGCAAAAGAAATCTATGAAGAAAACGCGGGAATGTGATGAAAGTCTTGACTATGCAACACATCACCTTTTTAGTTTTGAAGTGACGTATATATTCAAAACATATACCTTGTTGTCAAAGCGTGTTAAGCACATTTTTTTATTATCATCCAACGGCCAAATGAGAAAAGTGCATCTTAAATATTGTAATTTTGACTGTGGCCGTAAAAGGCTTCCTTGTCGAGCTACCATGGCTAAATCACTATTCGCCTTTTACTTTCTACGGAAAGGTTTTTGTTAGAAGTTCTTTTTAAATCTCGTAGGTTGAGCGTAATATCTAGTGCAATTGTACTTTATTTTTCCATTTGCCTTATTACGTCAATAAGGAGCCCTAATTATATGGATTATATAAGTTCACTTCAAACCTAGCAAACATAGAGGTGTTCATGTATCGGTCGAGAATAAGACGAGCCTTCTCAGCTCATGGAAACAGAAATATTTAACTCTTAGTTTACAAGGTTTTTATTTTCACTTTGATAGGAAAACGATTTCTTTGTAGCTATGTGGTAACTTAGAGGAGTAGAGGAATCAATAGATGACATTGTTCCACCAAATGTTGCCGACTTTTTTTTTTTTATCAATATTAAGCCGTTGGTCATATTTTCTTAGTAAGGAGTCTTGCCGTATTTTAAAGTTACTTTTGCTCCGGTATGAATTAGTTTGAAAAACATTAAAAGGAGCCGAAATTCTATTGATGCTCTATTGTTTTGCCAAACAATAGTAAAACTTTACAATAATAAAGTTTTATAAAGTAAAACATGTCTTTGAAAGTTACTTTTGCTCCGGTGTGAAATAGTTTGAAAAACATGAAAACTGAGAAGCCGAAATTCTATTGATGTTCTATTGTTGTAACGTTTCTGAACATTTTAATTGTCTACGTTAAAATAATTCATAACTGAATTTTCAGAGTCATTTAATACTTTGGCACTATTTCAGGTCGTTCTTAATTATTTTAACAGACGCTAATAATAGGCACAAACTATTTTTCCCCGCTGATGAATGGAACCCCAACGTATTTCGTTTTTTCAAAGATATTTGACTTTCAATTTAAAAAAAAAAAGAAATTTATTTACACTTTTCTAACCAAACTACCCAAGTCGTATGGTTTTGTTTATGACTTTTATGAAATATGTTTACTCAAGCGATAACAAACAACTCTATTTTTATGCATTCCCACAGTGTATTCTATGTTTACATTATTCACGATCCCGCTGTGATTATTCGGGTGCTATTAACGTACGAACCTACAAGCAGATTGGAAGTTACTTGAACAATTTTGTAAACGCAGAAATTTACATGAACCTATGGGAATTTAAATAGAAGAAAGGCAAAATATACCCACAAAACCACTGAGCAATTGATTTTAAGGACGATGTTCATCACTTTTACCCCAAGACGTGTGATGAAGGCAATACCCAATATACAACCCAAAATATCCTTATCTTCTTTTCATCTTTTACATGCAGAAACTGCAATGTTCTTGCCCTTGATTAATATTAAATAGGTGGCGTAGGGTTTTTTCAAATTACTTCTTCAAACTAAAGTTGTTAATTTATCCATTCTGAATAACTGTAGCGGCACCCAACCTGCACACCTGATTATAATTTTCTATGATAAACTGAACATACGTAATAGATCCTTAAATGCTTATAAAAAATCATGATTTTTGAATTGCAATTACAGAATATGTGTGAGTGTGTGTGTGTTAGATTTCATCCTCCCTTTTCATCATGAGAACGTATAACAGTCTTGCTTTAATTCAACGTTAAATAAAGGTCTTAACCTTTATTTCATTTGTAGCTGTGGTTGGTAACTTCTAAAATATTATGCTTTTGAATTATTGATATTACAGGTGTAAAACTCGTTTGAAGTGAGTGAGTTTTTAGCAGTCGGCGATGAACACAGCCTCAAAATGTACTCCAACCAACCTTCAGCCACGCTGCTTTTTGTGTTTATTTCCATCTCTTTCTGTGTTGCTCAATCGTAAGTATTTTCTTTGTTGACTACAATCTGCATCTAAAAGGTACATAAAAAACTTGAAAAGGAGGGAGCGTGGTCTTTCGCCATAGTTTTGACGTAAAGTCAGCTTTGGCTCTCGATGACAACGAAGCTATGAAAGTGAGAACTGTTCTTTAAATGTCAATTTGTGTAGTGTAGACGTAATGAACTTTTGTGGGCTTACTGGATGACTGCAATATTACCAATCAAGCTGAAAAGACTCAGGTTCAAACCTTTTCTCGCTATTGATATCCATTCGATAAGTTGTCAACACAGGTTAGGCGAGTGTCACGCGATACAAAATGCCGCAAAAATATCCTATGTGAGTGTCGACTTTACTTTTTCCATTAAAACTTTGAACGGCAAGTAATAATGTTGTCAAAGCAATCTTATCTTGATGGTTTGTTCTTCATACCCTTAACAGTGTCATTTGTTATACTTGTACGTCTTATTATTTTCTCGTATTATCTTGTTCCGTTGAAACAGGTCAGAAGCTTTGATAATGTTCGTCAGACAAGATTTCTAGTTCATGTTTTCTTTATTTAGCGAACAGGGGGGTATCAGATAATGTAAAAGAACGTCTCAAACTTAGCTTGTGGGTGGGTGCTACATACCTTTCATCATTTTAGAATTAATTCACACTAGGCTCACGATGGTTTTTATTCTTATTTTCAATTCGCTTTCCTTCTAGCAAAAGAAATAATAATACGAATGATACCTCGGTTGAAAACAAAAAATGGATTACAAATTCGTCTAGAATCTTCCAAAATTTAATGGAGGATTATGATCCATCAATTGCTCCGTTTGTTCCAGGTAAGTCCCTAGCACCTTAATCACTGGACTCCACTTACGGTAATATAGTGAGAAGGTTGTCCTTTTGTACCAGTCTTAGAGATATTCCCTGCTATTTCTAGGATACAGTTTTTTTCTCGTTTCGACGAAAGAGAAATCGCCATGAGACATGCTTACCTGTTCACCTGATAGAAACCTCAAGTCAAACTCTATTTGGCTCCAACAGTACTGTTTTCGTAATTTACTCCTCGCTTGGCTTAATAATATTCAACTAACTTTACTTATCGTGCAAAATTTAGTGCTATTGTGGAGTAAAATTCTTGTGCAGTTACCATGATAGGACCAGTGGTGCTTGGAGTTTTGGGGACAGTTTTCTCTTTAAACCAAAAGCGCTCTACTGGCGTCACATATTGTTTTGTCTAATTCACAAAAACTTCTGTGCTTGAACAGGAGATTAGGTTTCGCAGCTGTATTAAGGATATTCAACGCTGTCAATGACTCCAGTTCTTTTCTATCTTACGACTGCATCAATCAAGAGACTACCGAGATAAAGACTACCAAGGTAGATACTTCCTACCCAGGTCTCGTTTTCTGTTAACTAGGGATGAGCCGCTCTTTCCAAGTGGAGACCGCTGAGTCCGTTCATTTGTTTCAGGTAAGCCAGTGCAGGTGGCACTCACATTTGAAATCCTGGCTTTTGGCGAGATGAAGGAAGCAAAAATGGTAAGTTGATCATTCATAACAAATACATTTCTAATAACGGTAAATTAATAACGGAATCGAAATTCCTGAAGCATGGATGCCTATCATCAAAATGTATAACAGCCGACCGGTAACAAAGCGGACCTAAGAGGGAACAGCATCTCATGGGCAGAATAATAAAGGATCGAAATGCACCAATGACAGCTCACCGTAACACACCAATTACAACAAACCAAGGTGCGATAAATAGCGACACTTAGACTTTCGACCTCGTCGCCTCACGAAGACTAGCAGTATTGACTAGCGGAACTCTTAAAAACGATAAATGTATATTTACATCTGACCTTTATTAAATATTCCTTATTTTGATCCCTGATGTAACTGCAAAATATTTTTTCCTTTTTTTTAAATATTTAGATGTATAAGCAAAATTATGAAGAATGATGAACGCAGGGATGTATTTTATCTATAAGTAATAAAGAGGCTAAAAACAATATAGGGCTTCAACAGGGCTTGAAACCTCTGTGAACTCGCAGTTCTTTGAAGGTCATTTTTTTTCTTCCACAGGAATACAGTTTAGATTTATATTTCTTTCAAGTTTGGTCAGATATCAGACTTGCTCAAGGTCAAGATAGGAATTTCGCATTCAGTGGAAATGACATTAAAAAGATCTGGACACCAGACACCTACTTTATGAATGCCAAGAAAACAGATATTAAAAATGTAAGGTTTTACGTTCATGTTTCTTGAAGAACTTTTCCTATGCAGAAAAACCACGGGCTTTTCTCTTTTATCCTTAAAAGTAATAGTTGTCTCCTCCAAAAACATTTTATTTGGTAAGTAAGCAGATGAAGCAGTTTTTAAAACTCGCCGATTCTTACGTGACTATTAAAAAAGAATCCTTAACCTTCAAAACATTTAGACATTTTGCTTATTTTCATAAAGGTTATGAAAGACAATCAAATGGTGTATATCCTGCCTGACGGAGTGGTGGTACAGATGTCCAGGTAAATTAGCAATTGTTGATATCAATTATTGATATTTTTACTTACTTTTGTTGAAAAAAACTTATTATCAGTCCCCACAAAAGCGATAACAAACTTGAGACGTATGTTGAATGCGCCTCTGTCAAAGCCTTGGTGACTGGGAACTAGACTAATTTTGTATTTGAAGATAACAGTGCAGGACATGAACAATATTTGCTTCAAGTTGCCACAAAACAACAATAACAACAACGAACAACAACATTTTCAATTCTATATCGGTTGTTAATTGGTCCACGTTTCGCATCTGGGAAATTACACTCAGATAAATTTACTGTTTTTTATTTTTATATTTTATTAGGATCACATTAGACGTGGCTTGTCACATGCAGCTGCAGATGTATCCATTTGACAGACAGAAATGTGAACTCATTATCGAGAGTTGTGAGTATTCAACTTTTCACTTCTCCAACCTCCAATTTCTCCCGCTGGTCAACAAAAACTTTATTTGTACCCAACAGTTACTAATAAACTATAGCAGTTTTAAATTATGTAGTGGGTACAGGCTGCCCTTAAAAACCTCTAAGGGATAGAAAGATAGAACAGCCACACTAAGGAGATTAATTGATGGATACGAGGGCCAGACCACTCATGCAAACACACCTACCCAAAAAGCAGAAAAAAAAAACAAACAAACAAAAGCAGGAAGATGAACAGCAAAGGAGAACTAAGGACGCCAGTATTAGGCAGTGGAAAGCCAAAAAAGTAAAGTCTTAGTTCAAGACAGGAAGCTTTCCACGAAGGTGACTTTGGAAGAAAACAGAACGACCTAGACGGTTTGGTCGGTCATCGCCTGCTCTTAGGTGAAACTTTTACACTCAGACATCTCGCTGTCTACCGCTCTGCTTTGTTTTCTACCACTCATTAGTTCCAAACTCGTTTGTTATTTAGTTTCAATGACAGAATCAAAGTTAAACTACACTTGGGGCAACTTAGCAGTGGAAAAATGCGTCGTGGATGTTTATGATGAAGCCATGGCTCAGTATGAGTACAAAGGAGTGAAACTTAGTTATAAACACGAGAAGATTTCCTCTGGTATGTACGTTAGCAAACGACCATTGTAATGCTTTTTGCGATATTACAACTGAATTGGCGATTGAAAAACCCTCTGCCATTAAATTAACTTCATAATCAGTAATAACTTTCACGCAATCTTTCAAAAAGGGAAACCGAAAGGTTTCAGGCTGACCAAGAGGAAATAATGTTTCAGCTTGCAGATTTCAAGGAAGCTCTGGTGTTTGTGACCTGTAAAACGATCGGGGACAGCTGCAATCATCTGCATTCGAAATGAGGAGAAATGTCATGTCGTGTCAAAATGATATTCATTAAGTAGGATTATTTCTTAAATTCATACGTCTTAAGCCGGGGGATACTCTTACTTTCCAACAGCTGCTTTCTCCAACTTGTACGCTACCTTTGTATTCGACCGCCTTACGTCATATACAGTTCTCCAAGTGTACGTTCCCAGCTACATGATTGTTCTTTTATCATTCATGGCTTTGTGGATTCCTAAAGATGCCGTGCCTGCCCGTGTGGGACTGGGGATAACAACTGTGCTTACTATTGTGTACTTTTTAGGTAAGAGAATAAGAGCGCGCGGTACTTAAAAAAAACAAAAAAAACCGCACAATCAATTGATCCTAGTCAGAGAAGTAAGCCATTTTACCCGGAGTCTAGGAGATAAATTTTTGTCTATGACTTCATTAATGACTGACGTTTACAACTAAGAGAAATTCTGATTTTACTCACTATCTCTCTAATTATTTTATCCATTCAACGTACACTAAAAAAGAAAAAAAAAAAGGTAAACAAAATGATATTCCCAGAAAACGCAAATATGCTCACTAAAGTGTTCAAAAAACTTAAAGAAGAAAGTAGAGCAATTTTTTTTGTTTGCTGTTTACCGCCATGGTTTAATGCATAGAGCTAATGTCAAACTTTTCTCCCTATTTCACCGATGTATAATATGAGAAAGAAATTGCATTGATTACTTAAATTGATAGAAACGTAACTTCTTTGCCAACAAGATCAAAAGTAAGTTTCAGCTGCTATTGTGTTCTTTCGTAGGAACTGTCAATAGCTCGATGCCTCGTGTGTCTTACATGAAGGCTATCGACTGCCACCTTTTTGTATCGTTTGGTTTTGTGTTTGCCACCATGTTGGAATATATTGTTGTGCTAAACACCTCCGACAGAAAGAAGAGGAGGATGTCTACTCACGAGGACTTTGAAGTTGGTTTGAATTTATGCTAAAGTTGTACACTGAAATGGTACATCAAGGCTCTTAAGCGGTTCATATGAGAAGAATCTTATCATAGTATTAAGTTCCGATTAGTTTGAAAATTTAAATTGTAATACCGCTTGAAGGGAAAAGAAAAATTCTACTTTTGGTGTTTGATAAAAAAAGGAACAAGAAGAAAAGAACAACAAAGTTACTGCTTACCTTTCTCTGAAAAAGCTGGTGATCGAAAGCCCCATTTTGTATCTAATTATTACCATGCCTTTAAACAGTGATATTTGGTACGCTTCCCTGTGTTATCGTGAATAGTCTTACATCCACTGTTTTTTTTTGTAGTTAGAGAGTGAAGAATCTGGGCATAATCTAATCCAAACACACTGTGATACTTTACAGCTTGGACCACTCAACAATCACACGTCGGACGACTCACCACAAAACAAACGATACGATGCAGGTGTACCGGATGCTTGTTACCAAGTGTTCTCCTGCAAAAGGAAAAGAATGAAAGCCAGCCCGTCCGTGAACGCGGTGGACAGATACGCACGGATCCTGATGCCATCTGTCTATGGAGTCTTTGTTCTCATTTACTGGTTGATATGTGCATTGCTGTCTCCTCAAAAAGAATCATTGGATCTCTGTTAGGTTTGGTGCTTCTGTGGTGGGAAGAAAATCCAAAAAACATTTCCTGGTTTTGTCTTAGAAAATCTTTCATGAAATGTGTTGAAAGGCTTAAATTTTATTGCGTTCAGTCAAATGCATCTAACGCATTTTCAGACAAGACTTATCTTGAACCTGTAGTTTAAATTATGCTTCTTTATGTTTTGTCGGCCTCTGTGGACGATTGTGATAAAAATAATTCTTTATGAGTTAGTTTTGTTGATTAAAATTCTTTACACCTTCAGTGAACGGTGGGAGAATTTTTTTTGTAAATTTTTTTTTCAAAAAACCATAGAGAACATAGGAAAGAAGGGAAAAGAAAAGAAGAATAACTACTTGGTAGTTTGGACGCGAAGTATGTTACTTGATAGAGAGTCCGTGTTCTTCAGGAAGTCATATTGCGGTATTTTGTAATTGTTCCAATGGTATTTCTCAAAGGAAGCTATTATGTGCCGTTAAATTGAGAAACAAAAATAGATTAAGTATTCATGAAGAGTGTCGCTAGTGATAATGCTGGACTTACTTGAATAGGCTTGAATATAAATTAGCACTGAATGAGCCAATCAATTTTTAAGAACATCCTCAGTAAGTGTGTACCTTCATACTGATCAGCAAAGTCAACGAGAAGTATGAAATATATTAATCGACATCATTATCTGTATCGCGTGTTAAAGTTGGAAATTCTTTGATAAAGGGATAATGAACAAATTTCTACACTTTCTGGAGTAATCCTTTTTATTCCTCTTTACTTTTCATTGGTGGCCATGTGAAGTGTAAATATAACTCCCAATACAGCCTTCTAAGTAACCATGGAAGGCTAAGAGAGTAGCCACATGTAGACTGTTTTGTACCTTCTTGGAAAGTCTGTACTACTTAATTTCCCGGTATAACCGGCCTTAGCCAGCGTCATGCATGTAATAAACATGATTTGTCGTGTTTTCGTTTGACTAATGATACTCGCAACTTGACAAAAAGCTTTGAGTTTTGCTGGAAAACTGCATAACCATCGTAATCGTAAGCGATTTTTTCATTTTATGTCATGAAATTTATTTACATTGGATACACCAAGTTTGAGGAGTCAGAGATGAAAATTTCCTGCTGTGTTGCTTCGTAAAGGAAGCAAAATTCAGTTTGTTTTTAAATTTTCGGTTGTTAATCTTTACACTCTTGAATTCCCTTAAGAGCTCCTATTCGAATAGATATTACATCTTATGGTGGAAATTGAACATCAATATACCAATAAACTGCGCTACATGACAATTACTTTTAAAATGGAAACTTTTCCCACGAAATCCTTCTTTAAATTGTCTGATCCTTGGTCTGTTAAATCTTCACCTTTTTCTTCGATCTTTCTTTCAATCTTTGTGGATATGTTATCAACATGGCCGAGGAGGGGGGACTGTTGATTGTTTTCGTTTCACTCTCTTGGTGACAGAAATAATTTTTCCAATTATCTTCTTCTTGATAATTCCAATCTTCTCCAGTACTGCTCCGACATTTGGACTTGTCGTTGTACCATTTGGACTTGTCGTTGTACCATTTGGACTTG